TCCGGTTGATAATGAAGAAGGTGGGGCACTGTCCGCCAGCATTGAGGGCTCAGCAAAGGCTTCTGGAACACCATCTCCAACGACAGCATCGAGATCGCGAGTGCTATATTGGTCAACGCGCGCGTTGTCAAGGTTGCAATCCAGTTACCAGCAAGTGACAACAATTTGTTGCATCCTTGACTCGTTTGATGCTGCGAAACATTCGTGGCCCCGGAGCCGGAAGATGGATTCGAAGGAATTCGCCAGCTTCAATCGCCCGCGATTGTCTTCCACTTCCCTGATCATCCACGCACACCATGTCACAACCTGTTTGTCGCACCACGTCACATCCACGAACTCTTCCAGAACTTGAGAGATCCTGGCCAGTGGTTTGACCGCGGTGAGCCGCACAGTGAACCTGCAGTCTGCAACGCTGCACATCCAGGCAGACAACTGCAGCAAAGAAATTGAGAACAATTCTGTGATGAGACTGGCTGCAATGTGGGTGGCATTAGGCCACATCCAGTCCTGCGTTTTGACTTTCCTATCCTCAGGTCACTCGCACGAAGACACCGATGGTCGATGGGATGTCTTCTTTGGTGCGGAGCCACCTAGAACAGCGTCACGAATTGGAAACGCCGGAGCATTTTCGCCAATGTGTCCAAGATTTTTTTTGCTGATCAAAGGCGCAGGCCTCATGAGCAAAGCCGTGCTGTCCATTTGCTCACCCAATACAGAGATTGGCCATTCGACTACTTTGTAGAATATTTGGAGCTGATGTGAACTTACTACTTAAGTCTTTTGAAAGCTCCCCCAACGTCCTATAGCTGAACTTCTTCGACTGCAACTATCAGAACTCCGAATGCAACTAATTCCGATTTGTTTACGCGCACCTCTCCGGGATTGGAGGGCCGGGTGCCCCTCATGTCTTCCAATTGGAAAGATTGGCTGGGACAGGACCATTCTGGAAACATAGGGGAAGTTCCAAGGTTCAACTGCAATATTTAAAAGATAATAAAAATTAATAAAACATATATATATATATATAAACACTATATATAACCCGAATCAATAACCGGAACTCAAACAAGCCAAAGCCGTCCACCAACCAACCTCGCCAGGATTTCGAAGAGATGACTTGGACACCAAGTTCTGGAAGCGGGTTCCGCATCAGCCCAGCGACCGTGATGTGATTATCAGGATTGGGGACAATTTCAATGATGTTTCTTGTTCACCTTCGCAAAAACACTGAAATGAATCTATGTTTGCACAGGACGAAGCGGTTCATGAGCGATAGTGATGAGTCCTTCAGCAAGCCCATTCTCTCCCTTCCTTATCAAGTTTGTTGCGCTGCTGTGAAAAATGAAGCACCACCAGGTCTGACGTTTCTGCAACACACCATTGATAGATATATGAACGTGTTTCTGCCCGCCAGTTTTCATCGAGCCCGCCATCAACCCAAACAGCAAAGAGAACAAGGCCTATCGAAAGTACGCTGGACTCATGCGCGAGGGCCTTGGGGACACTCTGACTGTCACTGTTTGAGCTTCCCTTTTCAAGTCCCAAGTGATTTCTCGAACCAGGTCAGTACCCTTTCGACATGCATGAAGCAGCCCAACAGTTGGAGGATCTCTCCAACGGCATGATTGAACACAGCCCCTTTTTGGATGTGAGTTGGTAAGAGCCCTACCTTTGTGTCGGCGCAGCCATTGTGTATACTCACCATTTCTCACACGCTGTTTTCTGAGGGCCCTGCCGCATGTGGGTCCGGCTGTGGGCCCTGCTGTGCGACCACCTGATGAAAGACTTGGCCAGGATTTGGAAGCGGTTGGGAGCCCAGAAGATTTGCTCGTAGCTGTCGATACAACACAACCAAAAAAACAATATCATTAAGAGTGGCAGAATGATGCATGGAATGGATTCCTACCCACTGTTCGACTTTATCTTTGGGAGGCTTTGAACACCGTGCGTTTGGGGGCTCAACGCCCAAACCATGAGGAAGCAAGGGCCTATCGTACGGCTCGAAAGAGCGCTGCATTGTACGACGCAGCATCGGAGCTTTGGGCGCAAGGCATTCCCACGAGAAAGGCTTTGAGAGTAGTTTCAAGAGCGATTTTGGCTTCTAACGGCTAAGACACTGTCAGCTCGGCCTGGTGTGCAGGGGATGGCACACTAGTGCACCATCACCTTTGGGGTCGCAGCGGGGTGGTTCAATTCTTTCTTTAGAGCAATTTCATGTTCATGGGGAAGAACAACAACCGTATGTTCACTATTCACCTTGCAAAAACTATCCAAATCTCAACTCTACATTGTGAAACACCCTGTGCAAATGTGGAGAGTTGCTTTTGTGAAGAAGTTTGTTATGACATCAGTGTTTTGCGCGAAGTCTCTACGTCAGGAAACCGACCACTGACTACAAAACATGTCCGTGAAGAAAGTTGACGTGTTTATTCAGGAAACACATCGCACGCTGGATGTGGGGGAAATATTGATGGTGGATGGCGCTGAAATCGAAGCCCAAAAAGTGTACAGACAGGTTTTGTGAATAATGTTGTCGTGTTTATTCACGAACCGGACCTCTCCCGACAGCCTCTGTTTTGTGAAGAATCCTCGAGTCACAACTTTGTGAACATTTTTTGGAAGAATCCTTTCGCAACACATACTGCCCCATCCCCAGCCGGGTCTCCGAGCGGCATGGGGAAGCGACCTTCAGGCGGCGGTGGGCAAGGGCCTTCAAAAGCGAAGTCCGAGAAGGGTGAAGGACTTCAACCAATTGCACCAGACTCCATGGCTTTGCCACACATGAAGATTTATGAGGAATGGGCGAATCTAATACGCAAACAGTATCAAATACGTTTGCAGTTTGAAGCCGGAAAGTGTTGGCCTAACAGCAAATATTCGCTGCAAGGAAAGAAAACTTGCACAACCACGGCAAGACTCTGGATGTTTTCTTGTCGGAGAACTTGGCTTGTGAGGCCAGCTGGTTGTCAGACTAGTGTGAGCCTAGCGTCAAATCTATCAAGGCGACACCCGTTGGATTTTACACCTGGATGGAGTACACCTTTCCACCTGAGTGTGGAGTGTTGGTGTCTCATTTTCTGCTTCATCCTTTCTGCTTCATCTCATTTCGAAACAACCTGAGGCAGTATTTGACCGATGATCTTCGCGCATCATCGAGCTCATGGACCTTGAGACCTTGGCAGTTGCCACACAGGGCCGACTTTGGCCTAAGAGGGACAGCTGACGCTGTCCGGAGCTCAATCAAAAAACATGTTGCAGATTGCGTGGCTGATCCTTTGTCGTTTGGCCTAGGTTCAGCGCAACCTAGCGCAGCTCGTGCTTCTGAACGGGTTCCAATCGGACCCAAACACGCCGCGAGTGGAAAAGTTGACTATGACGACATGTCAAACTTCTTGGAACCACCTCTCCTTCGTGTGGTGGAAGACCTTGGGTTAGAAGAAAGCCAAAGATCCTTGCTCAGGCCACAAGTGGCCTTCGCTGTCAAGGGCTGGAACCGGTCTTTGGCGTTGCTTGGTATTTGCTACTGCGGGTTCACCACTCCAGCTCTCATAGAGGCGAGTTGAATCGTTGTGTTGAGCACTTCTGTTTGTAAGTGCGCAGGTCATGCCAGACCATGTCAAAAGGAGCCAAGCTGTTGTTGTTTGTTTCACCAAGCTTAGTGCAGCAGTTTCCCTGCTCAATCGTGTTTGGTTTCAGCTGTTTGTCAGGACATTTTCAACCATCCATGCGAACAGCGTGGCTCCATCTCTCACAGATGTGGTTGCCTGTAACAGAGGCCTCGACTCCTTCGATTCTTTCACAAACAACAAAACTCAACTACTGCTTGCCATGGCCAGGCGTGACCATGACAACGGCTGGCATTCGCCGACGCCCTAACTGTTTCAACATAGTACATCAGTTAGAGCTCTTGGTGCGCTCGGGTGTTTCACAGCAATCGGCCATTGGATCGCTGGAGGCAGCTAAACAACAATTACCTATCAAACGCAGCTGTTGACTCACCCCATGATCACGCTCACCCCATGAGCGCCAGGCACATGAGACCGCAGCTTCGGTCGCCTCAGCGTACTCGCTGGGGAAACAAGAAGCTTTGGCAGCGATCGCTTTGTTGCACAAAGTGCCCACAACTGTGAAGGAGGCTTTGACCCTATTAGTAAGGAGAGGGTCCTTGCATGTTTTGCAATGCTTTTCACAAACACTTTGCCACAAGATCTATAAGTAATGGCGCCTGTGACTGCACCAGGAGACATGGGATGCCTCGTTTTCTGACTCACGAGGCTTTAGCAGTCGGCCGGCACTGCACTGCAACAGGTGTCTACAGTCCATGGAAGGCACACCTCACAAACAACGAGAGTCTGCTTGAATTTGTTGTCACACGCATGGAGAAAGACTATGAAGCAACTCTTCCAAAGCAACGACGACCGTGGACGGTAAAGGAACTGGACTCTCGTCGCAAGTTGTAAACAGAAAATTTAATCAAAGTTTCCCACTCTCCCAATATCAACCCTCGCATCTGAGGAATGCCTGCAGCGGAACTGTGGCGGCTTCCGGGCGTGCCTGGATCAATTCCAAAAAGCGGTCCCAAAGCAGTTTGCTGATCTGGCTTTGGTGGAGATCCACCGTGCGTTTCCTGGTAGACCTGAGGGGCCCCTTGTGAAAAATAAAGAACCATGAGCCATATAAGATCATTCGCCCAAGGCAGAGCATCAATCGCCCTAAGGTTTGAATTGCGTCATGGGGACGCAGATATCAGTGCGATGTTGGAAACCTCTGTACCACCAGCAGATCTCTCCAAGATATCACTGTTCAGCCATCATCTATTGAAGTGGAACAAGGAGGCGAGGTGCCGCTAGTTCCCAAACTCTCTCAAATCCCTTGTTCGCACGCCTTGTGAAATCCAGGCAGAGAAGCAGAATCAATCTCGCGCGGCTCAGACCTCCGGCCGCACTTGGACTGAAGCTACAACAAGTAGTCAAGTACTCGCTCATGTTGAATGACTTTGGATGAGGCTCCAAGCGCAACTCTTGCAGACGACGTGGGAGCAAACCAGGCTTTCAATCGCTAGCGATATCAGCAAGCTCAAGCAGTGGTCTGGGCGTTGGGAACTCTACGTGTCCCAACAGGCCAGCATGGGGTGCGCTAGCATGTGGTTGAAGACTATACTATATTCGATTTCAGTTGTTGTAAAGTTATAACTAACTTACCCAAGAAGAAGTAAGTTATATCTTAGTTATAACTCGAAGTTATAACTAAGTTATTTCCTATTTATAAGTTCCATAAGTAGTTCATAACTTACTTATAACTAAGAACTAACTACCTTCTTTTTCCCAAAAAGAGACGCTTTTTTTTCCGCGTGCGAACGGAGAGATCTCAGCCAAATGCTACAGCCGACGCGTCCGCTTCGGTGTATACAGTCGATACTTTGATCGATCTGTCGCCACCAGCTCGCCGGTAGCCATCGAGTCGGTTGGTCCACTCGATGCCAGGTCACCTCGTCTGTCAGACGCCACGTCGAACCCCACTTGGTGGATCCAGAGAACCGCAGGCGGTTGGAGCAGCTCAAAAGGAGTTTCTCGCCCACAGGGCCGACGAAAGGCCGACGTCACGAAATGCAACCCTGGGGTGTGTGGTATGTATACATGTATTGGGGCCGACATATGGCCGACACGGCGACGGCGACGGCGTTCTGACGTGGGGCCGACACGCGGCCGACAACCGAAAAAAACTTATATGTACAGAATGTCGTAATGTCGTCATATAGATACATATATATATATATACAAACAAAAGGGATATAGATATAAGGCGAATCTATAAATGTTTCCGCCCCGCCCTGCTATCGAAGCGCGTGTAGTCCTGCTGCTGTCTTCGTGTCTTCGCCATTGTCTCCGCAACGGTCGACATGCCTTAAACCTATATTTCCGGCACACTTGATCCAAAAACTGCGCAATGTTTTTTGGTGAAACTCAGTTTTGTAACTACGAATAGCTAGAAATAACTTTGTATAACTAAGACCTAACTAAGTTATAACTTCCACCTAACTACACCCGGTTTAGTTATAAATTACTTACATCTAACTTGTTCTAGCCTTACTTAGTTATAACTCTATGTTAAATTCCTTAAGTATAACTATAGTTATACACACTTATCCTAATACAAGTTCTGTTATCGAAATACAAATTTACTTGTAGTTCCCTAACTAAAGTTATAGCTTACTTATAACTAAAAAAGTATATCGAAATATATTTGCCCCTTCTCAGGGAGCGATGGACTACAAGTACATTGCTGACAGGTTTGAGCGTGGCAAGGTCATGATTGGGGAGTTCATGACGGAACGACACACACTGATATCATGCCAGAACCTCATGTTAGCTCACGCCTCCATCGTTGAGAAGCAAGCTTCCATGGGGCCTGATGCGTGTCTCTGCAGCATTTGCAACATGAAAAGATTGAAACCGGGTGTGTGATTATGTTTATTCATTGCGTTGGTTAAACTTTCCCAGAACACTGGTTGAGGCTCACCATGTTGCTGATCGATGCATCCCTTTGGCCATCTCATGCTTTGCAGCTAAGGAGAGAAACACTTGAAGTTCTACTATAAACTATAAACGTGACATTGCCTTGACTAAGATTCTTTTGCGCCTTATTCTGTTTAACTTTGAGGTCAACTGCTCATCGACGAAGCAGTTCAACTTGCTCACAGTGTCTGTAGCGGAAATGTTGGCTGCCTATGTTTCGCCTGCCTGCCACAAGTGCACACATCGACGCTGTCAGCTACAGTCATTAGTTCTGCTTGTTGTTTTATCTTAGGCACCGATTGGCCATCTGGCCTACTTCCTGCAAGCAAATACTACTTCTCTATGACCTGTGGAGATGAATCATCGTGCGGTTTGCTCTCTGAAGTGGATGATGATGCAATTCCAGAGTTAGTTCGCTGGCTCTTTACAGCACATGTTCACAAACTTGGCGATGAAAAGGTGATTGTTCACGAAGAACTTCGTTTCATAGTCAAGAAAGATGCTGTTGACACTGATCCCAGCACCGGCTGTTGGAAAGCTACCATGACGTGCTTTGATGTTAGAGCCCAGATGGACATGGGCATCACTTTCACTCTGGCCAAGTGAGCTGACAGTGCAAACCGCTGAGTCCAAAAACATGTGGCGTCGAAAGTGGGAAGGGCTGGGCTGGGAAGTGTCGAGAAGTTTCACTTTTTTTTCAAACCTGCGCGCACATATGCACATGTAGAGGCGCTGACGTCATGCGTGTCGGAGCTCTTGCGTAAAGACACTCAGTGACTCAGTGACATTCGCGCAATGCATGCCCAAGCTCTTGCATAAAGACACTCAGTGACATTGAAGTCACTAGAGCCAAAACCCTAGATACAAAGCAAAACCCCAGACCAAAGGAACAAATAAATTCTCCATGTGCTCTTTGACCATCGCCAACGCCATGCCATACGTGACCCTCTCCTGACAGAAGCTTCAAATGAAGCACTACATACGTTGCGATGTTGAATTGAGGAGCCGCACGATTAGAACACACGTCTCGCAAGGAGCTCAATGACACGACGAAAACAAACATAAAAACAAAGGACATTAAAAGCACAAACGAAAACGAGCATAAACTAAATATGTCTAGGTCACATGCGCGTAGAAGAATCTGGCATGGAGGAAGTTTCCAGTCGCTGCAAATGTCCAGACAATTGCGTGGACCTCCCCGTCGTCTTTGGTCACGACAGCGTGGTGCGCAGCCACAATTGGACGACACTCGTGAACCGCAATTCCCATTTTCGGAAACAAGTCACGACAATGCTTGTACACAAAGAAGGGACTTTCCATTCCACCCTTCACGCTCTTCAAATTTGTATTTGACGGCGCCGCCGCCGGCGCGGGCAAAACAGGAAATGTGAATATTGTCTTCGGACAAAACTGACTCCTGATGCCCCTGCCACAGTTCTCGGAAATCACTGTCTTTGCCACTCTCTGGGATGAAGGCGTATTCCATGACCACTGCGTGAGTCATGACTATTGGCTCCATCCTCTGATGTTTCAATCCTCTGATGATAGTTACATCATGTTGCTTCTCTTGCAAAAAGTTTCAATCCTCTGATGCGATACCAGGAGTGACTACTATAGGCAAGCAGGTCGAGGTTTCAAACAGAAAGAAGAAATACCATATGCCACATATATGGGTTGAACTGTCATTCCTCTGATCAAAAAGTTCCAATCCTCTGGTTCAATCCTCTGATGCTTCCGCTCCTTTCGACAAGCAGGTCGAGGATTGAATATCGATTCGAAACCACTCGTTGTTGAGCCAAAAAATTCAATTGCAACTGGCTGGGCATTCATGGTTGAACACCACTTCAAATTGTTAGACAATCAAATCGAACCAAACCTTATAGAGTTTTCAAGATCAACAGTTTCGCCTTGAGGTTCAATCACTGAAATGCCAACCTCTAGGTTAATAAAACAAGACGATGCAACAAACCGACCAATTTCCAATTGACATGCGCAAAATCCACACGCTGCCCCGGATAAACCGAAACGAGCCTGCATGCCAAAGGCAGCTGCCGCGGCATTAGATCACATCCTTGGCCGGTGCAATGAGACAATATATAAACCAACAGATGGTCAATGTATAAGCAAAACCTGATAAAACAAACAAGTCAACAACTTGTACACAATGCCCCAAAAAACATTGAACAGTCGATACTGGTCTATCAAAAACCACAGCACAGATTGAGTTCATGTGCTCACTTCAAACGGCCTGAAAAATCACGCAAACAAAAACCATGACTCCTAAAACTCGATTCGAAACAACTCTTTGAAGCTGATGCAGTTCAACAACTCTTTGAACACGATGCCGAATCCACCCACTGTCTCGAATGACCCGAAGCGAGCCTGCGTGCCAAATTGAGGCAGCTGCCGCGGCATTGGGTCACATCTTTTGGCCGGTGCAATGGGGCCATATAAAGCAAATGATGGTCAATGTACTCAAGACCTGATCAAACAAAGAAGTCAACCTTTGTGAAGACCAAAAACCCGATTCAATTAATCATTCTTTTGAAGGGTTTCGAAACCAAAAAATTCATTATTGTATATAGTTTGGGGACCTTTGGTGGTTCCCTGTTTACATGCCTGCCTGCCTGACTGCCGTTCTGGCATCTACGGTGGCTCACTGTTTATATCCCATGTGTTTGATGTGCTGAATACACGCCCACCCATATGAATCCAAGTAATATATGTATATTTGGAGCATCCAAACAAAATGTGTGGAACACATGTTTGGAACATCGAAACAAAGCCAAAAACAAGTATAGTATATGTCTGAAACATATTTATGAAGTACTATGTTTACACCTGAGGATGGGAGTACGTGTGGCCCAACACCACCTTGATCACTGATGTGAACATTAAAACATTTCACATTTTGCCAACTATAGACAAAATATATCTTAATATATAATATATCTTATACATTCCACTTCCTAAGTTCGACCGGTCGAACTTACTAAGTTCGACCTAAGGTCGACCGGTCGAACTTATAAGCATAGATATTAAGTTGGATAACCTCAACTAAAACATACGTCGAACTTACATATCTTAAGATAGTAAGTTCACATTAAATAGATCATATGTTCGCTATCTTCGCGCTGGACTTACTAAGTGGTTATATCACCTTAGTAAGTACAGACAGGAACACAAGTGCACATAGGCAGATTAGAGGCGAACTTTACACGGTTGCAAGTTAGTTACCGCAGTTGCAACCACCTTATACCCAAGCTATAGTCTAGTTACATTCGGTTAGTAAGCTGGACAACCAGGCTAACTGCTTATAACCCCAACCGCGCATCCAAGCAGTTCCAAGCGGACACATCGCTCCTTTTGAGCGAGGTGGCAACAGCTACCGTCAACACCATCCTCAAGCTCAACAAGCTGATCCGAGAGGTCAAGCGAGAAGCCCACCAGAGCTTGCTGTTGCCTGCATGGCACCGCAGCTGGAAGGGGCGCGTGACCGTGTCCTGGCGCGACGCAGGCCAACAGAACCGGCCTGATCGATCCTCGACTTTAGGGATCCTGACGGCCATGGCACCCAAGGAGTTTGCTGATGGGGAGGAGCTTCCAATCTCCATCCTCACCTGGAGAACTGGGCACACCGCGCCAATGCCTCGGTTCAAATTGGTGCCGAAGTCCAGGACTGACTGAAGCTGAAGACTCCAACTTCAAGGTGCGTGCATTGTGGCTGGAGATTAATGGCATCAAGGTCTCCAACGAAAACCTGTATGAACAGGTCAGGATGCACAGCACTGGCATCCTCATCATGGATAGCCGAGGAATCTATGACGCCTCCGCCAGGAACATTTCCAGTTTGCATGGGGGGTACGAGCTGACATTGGCTGTTCAGGAAGCTCTTCGGATCAACACCACCTTCAGGTGGGTGAACGGCCTGGCCCAGGTTGCAGATGTGCTTACAAACTTTGGTGAGTGGAAAGTCTTCCTACAGCTGCTCTCACGAGGACAATGTTGGAAGCTGATCCATGACGACCAGTTCACTGCAGGTCGCCGGATCAAGAAGCAAGAACTGGAAAGGCAGATCCGCGAGACTGAAGACTCCTTCATTAGGCAGGTGGCCGCAATGGCCAAGGCCAACCATTGGCCGTGGGAGGAGCACGAGGGTCCCCATGAACCCAGGGTGTTGGGGATGAGAGTTTAGCGGATCCATTTGAGCATGACACCACATATCTCCGTGGGTTCATGGAGACTTGACCTGTTCCGTCGCCATCTCACGCCCCGGGAGGGCAGCTCGAGCCAGTGAAAAGGTGCGATCCCTCACAACGATCGGTTCGTCATTTGCTCGCCGTTAGCCGGCGATCCCTTTGTGCGGTTGCTACCAAGTTCACTATACTTTCACCACATTCGGGGACCTGCGCAGAAGTGATGACTGGTTGCTTGCAGTGATCATCCTATACCCTCCATTGGAGCATCGCAAGGATGCATCGGTTTCCGGTTGAGTGACTCAGCGTGGTGCCCATCACCTGTTCAGCTGTGTCTTCTGCGTCTTGGGAATATTTTGCTATAAATAGCAACCTGTCTTGGGATACCTGGATACTGTAGTACTAATTACGGTACCACGTCGACACTTTTTCATGTTCCAATGATTTGGGAGGTGTTGGCTGGCGTCGTCACTAGCAGCAACAACAATGCCTTTGCAAAGAGGTTGCATGCCACAGTTCTTACGCAATGCATGCACTTCTTCGGTGTTTACACAGTACGTGCAACTGTGGGGCAAAGCAGATCTTATCCACCACAGCTCTTTCACACCCGCGTTTACACGCCACCGCATTCACGCAAACCGGCGTTCACACACCATTGTTTTACGCGAACCAGCTTTGACACGACACCAGACCACACTAGATGCTGTAGCAACCTCTCCTCGTGACTCCTCCCACTCTGATGTGGCACACACTTTTGTATAGCACAAATTTGGCACCGGGCAGTTGTTACAAACCACAATTGCTGTTACACCGCCCTGCGGCCTTGCGTTTCGACTGCAGGGTTACATATTTCTGCGCAAAGCAGTGAATTTACACTCTGCAGTTTCTACGCGAAGCAGTGTGAACGCTGCACACGGCCCTTCTTGCACACGCCACCCCACCAGATCTTCTACGCAAAACAGCGTTTACATTGCAACATGTTCAGGGAACCCCCTCCACAATCACCGGGATCGACGCATTTGCATCGCACCAGACCACGCCATTATGTCCTTCCAACCTCTCCTCTTTCTAGAAAACTGTTCTCGCCGATCACCTGGTACATATCTACTTTTCGTGTGTTCCTTTCCCTAGTTGAGGCAACATTCTGCGCTTCGTTTGCAAAGGTGCCCTTGGTTTTGCTGTTTCAGTAGGTATGTGCCAACTTCACACTTGGAACGTGTTGCCGACTGAAAAAATTTATATGTGTCAGATTATTTCAGTGGTTGAATTAGTGCTGATGGTTCAAGCTTGAAATCATATATCAAATCATAAGTGATCATGAGGGGATGGGTGCCCAGTTCTGTTTTTGAGTCCATCATTCACTCAAGCTGGCTCTTAAAGACAATCATAGGATACCATGGGAATTGTTAAACTATGCCCTGTATATCCAACCTTGTCACTCAGGTATGTTCAATGTACATGTTGGAACATAAGGTTTTTAGTTCCGGCAGTATCGATAGCACGTTCATCATGACAAGCGTCGCTGCGTTGATCACGCCCGGCATGGAACTGCGGCCGTTTGACCTTGATATGCTGCTGATTCCGCTGGTCTCTCAGCGCCTGAGTTTGCGACGACAGGTGCTGGAGTGTGAATTCCCACGATTGTGTCACATGTAGCCCTGCTGGAGTGTGAAGCAGGAGTATCAGGAGTCTTGAGGTCTTGGGAGACTTTCAATCTCCACCTTGTCCGATGGTGACGACGGAAGAGAGCAGACAGGAGCCGCAATGGTGCTGCCCATAATGGGTGCACATGTCCTTATCATGGAAGGTCCAGCGGCTGCACAAGACTTTTCCACTGGCAACCTGCTGAGTGGCAACTTAGGGTCTTCGAAGAATCTTTTAAATGAGTCAATCATAGATTTGCCCAAAACAGCAGCATTCGGACTTCCAAACTCAGGCATTTTGTCTCAGAGCCAAAGCCGCCGCGTGCTGGAAGTGTCCAAAGACCTGTAGCAAATCCTATGAGGTTGCCGTATGTTTCCCCTTTTGTTGAAGGCATACCGAAGGTCACGACAGGTAGCCCTTTAGGGGATACCTTGAGTTTTGCGAAGCAAGTGTTGGGACGTCCGGGTCTGATAATTGATCACTCAATTCAAACCACCCCACCCCCTCGAATTGATTTCTCAATACAGACCCCCCCCCTCTAAATTCAATTCTCTCCTGGAGAACGTCTTCGTGAGCCTCTCATGATTTCAGGATAGTTGAAACCCTCTTGAACACTCAGAAAGAGTGCATATGAAATTCAAATCACGAAAGGTGTTCCCCGTTAGAGTGCATATGAACATATATTTACGATTTACGAAAGGTCGCCTCCGAGGGGATGAATCACCATGTCGAACATTGCATTTTTGTTCCTGCTTCTCGCGTTCTCTTCTCTTCCCGCTGTCCTACCTTTCGTGTCTCCCTCCTCTCAAGTTGGGAATGTCCTGCCCTGTCACCAAGCCGTATCTCGCCGCAGAGAAGCTCGCCTCATGTTCCACAAAGGCCATAAGGCTCGGTCCCAACACTTCTCCCCGCGTCGAACGACACATGTTCACCGCATGGCCCAGTGGGAAGGTGCTTACATCGCGGCCATTGCGACACGAGGAGCGGGATTGGAGCAAGGGCGGTCTGCAAAAGCCTGAAGGAGGTAGAAGCAACCGGCTGGGAAACATACAGTGCACACGCCAAACATCACCTATGAGTCAATGCGTGCAAGAGAAGGCTCGTGACTTTCTTTTTGCAGTGGGACCGTGGGATTCCTTAGAAGCCCATGGAAGCCTACGGAGACTCTACAACATCTTTGACAGCTCTGGATGTTTTAAAGTCTGTATAGACTCTTGAGCCATAGTGAGCGATTAAGACTTGGGGCGATTCACTTGGCGCTGTCCAAAGTCCAGTGCCTTTCGAAATCAATAGCTGCTAGGTTCCTCAAGTGTGAAATATATATATATATATACGTTCCCAGTACGTAGACGATGTTCCGCACATGACGGTTCAGGACCTGCTGGGTAGAGCTGTTCGTCTCCAGCTGTCCGGATATACTTTTTGACCAACGGAGCGGTTCGCGACCCAAATTTGAGACAACGCATACGACCGGAAAGCACCACCGCCCACCGCGGGTGTCAGCCTATATACATAAATCCATCCGAATCCGCGGTGCAGTGACGTGGATTTGGGGACCAACCTGGGAAGGACCAAGCAAAGCTTTGATGGAAGTTCTGGATGTTCATTAAAGACCAGAAAGGATGTGGTCTAAAGAAAACAAGAGAGTGCACAGATGCTATTGATAAAGGTTGACTGGTCCCACTGGTCGTTTCCTTAGCACTAATCAGAGGCAAACGGAAGGGTAGTGCACAGAAAGGGTTTTGCAAACACCTATTCTACTAACATCGTGGAAGGCGTGGGACATTCGTAGAACCCAAGGCTATTCGTGGACAGTTCGTGGAATGGTGGGCCAGTAGGAGAACTGACTGCAACGAAATTCCAGAAACCTTCGCAGAACTTTGTGGAAGGTATTTTTGATGCACTAACTTCGTATAATTTTTGCTGACCCCCTTTCTCCACACACACCCTCCATTTAGCCTTCAACTAACCGCAGCAACAAATGCTGCAGCTCTTGGTCGCATGATGCTCAACTGACAAAGACTCAGTGAAACCCTCAAACTTACAGTTCAAACCAGTGTGCCCAATCCCCAGACTGGTTCCTTACTGCGGCCAGACTGGACTCCAAAAAAGGTTGATCGAAAGATCACAGTGATCCCTTGAGTGCCTTGGCCTGTGGGAGTCCTGGCTGGACTACCCAGCCCATGCAATACCACGCTCCGTGCTGCTTCGACAGGAAGTTCGGCTTGACGGCCAAAAAACCCTTGGGCGCCTCTGCGTTGTTCTGTGCGACGTGAGCGGGTTTCTTCGCTGAAGCGCAGGGGGGGGTGGGTGGATGTGGGCGGTGGGTGCGGCGTGCTGAAGCAAAAGGGAGAAAGGGAGTGAGACCCGCGCCGTTCCTCTTGCGTCCACTGACTGACGCGACTCGGAAAGAACGAAGGAATGGACCCATAAGGAATCTCTATTGGGAGGTCATTCCCTGATTCCCAATACTAATTACTTGTCAGTGCACTTCGTGTTGAAGGCAGGCCAAGGCTATCCAAGACTAGAGGAAGGGAGGTCGGAAGGTGGAAGGGAACATCTAGGATGTGAAGTGGCTGGAAGGATTGGTTTGTCATGCTAGCTGCTAGATACCTTGCAGGTCTTCCGCAGATTGTGATCAAAGCACTTCACAAGGACACAATTTGTAACTCGGTGTCCGTTTCACTTGCTTGGGCCGTTGCCTGAGGACAGGTCCGTTGCGCGGAATGGCGGCAAAGGTCTTGAATACCTTTGCTTAAAAGAGTCAGCCATGCTAACCAGCACTTGTCCCAAAATCAACCAGCACTTACTCTCAGTCTTACACCTCCTTACTCAGAGCTTTTGGCCCAATGACATCGTCGTCCTACTCCACCAGTGAGTATACTTCTGACTCTGGCTCTTCGAGTGAGTCTGAGTCTGATGATGGGGCTGCGAACTTCAGAAAAGCCAAAGAAGCTGTGTATCTCGGAACTAACTTGGGGTGTTCTGGTGTTGATGCAGATCAACAGCCTTTTCACTAAGACTTACAGTCGCCACCATTAACTTAGCCAAGGCGTGGCAAACCAGTGACCCCTCCACTGGTTTTGAGCTCTCACCAGAAGAGTCGCTTGGCGTCCTGGGGAGCTGACTTGGTGCGCCGCTCTGGATGCTTGAGAGAGATTAGATGGGCGGGTGTTGGCTTGTCCCACACCCAGTTAGGTCAATGACTGGGTCAATGTATCATCAGACAGACTCAGAAGAAAAGCCAGAGGAAGTATACTCGCTTGTTGAGTAGGACGGTGTCATTGGGCCAAAGTCTTCGAGTAAGGAGGTGTAAGACTGAGAGTAAGCGTTGGTTGGTTTGGGGACAAGTAGTTTCAGACAAGCGTCGAGAACGGTCCTGCGTGCGTGGAGAACGGTCCCACGTGCCTTTTCATCCTCTCTCCCATCTCTCCTAGGAGCTGGGCCTTTGATCAATGCTGTCGCAAGGAACATCAAGGCCAAGTGGACGCTCATGTCAGACTGCCGCTTGAAAGCATTGAGTGAACGCATGTGAACACATGGCAACCCAGTATTCTTTGGATGGGTGAACCCGCAAAGGCTCCGGTGCCCTGGGCTGCTACTTTGGCCTCAAGGAGGTTCTGAACCACAAGGCCCAGGGCCCACTGAAACTCATGTGTCAAATCCAATGCTTTGAAGCTCAGAACTCCATACTGTATAAATTCAAAGTGGAATGGCAGGTGAAGCTCACTTCAGTGTGTGACAAAGCTCTGGGGCCTTTGAAGTTCTTCCTGAAGAATGCAAAGAGTGAGAGGCCTGTATGTTCATGATGATTTCGAAAAAATAACAAACAGTGAGACTTAATTTGCATCATCATGGAATGTTTCTGGAAGGCTCTACACCGAGATGGTTGGCCGAGAGCTGGATGGATTGGAGCATACAACAATGTATGCTGCAGGCTTCCCGTGTCAACCGCCCCTTGCCTTACCTGCTGTCCACTCACCTGCTCACTCACGCTGCCACTCAGTTCCACTTGCTGCTACCTCAGGTTCTCACGGCTGCGGCGATCCACGACCCATTTTGATGAGCCAGGGGGCGAGATCCTGGATGAGTGCTTGGATGCCTTGAAGAGGCCAGCAAGGTTTTAATGAAAACTTGTTGTTCCTGCAGGGACCCTTTGCCAGCTGAAGAAACACATCTTCATTGCTCACTTCCAGCAATGACATGCCATAGACTTATCCTTAACTTTGTTTGCCAGGGTGCGGCCTCTGGTGGGAGTTCTTGAGAACGTCTATGGGCTGATGGATGTGTGGGACCAGGCTTCTTGTCATTACAGTTGGTACCGCTTCAGTTTGGGACTTCAGCATTGCACTGCATGCACTGTTTGCTATTGTTTTCTAAAATTTACTGGGTGAGGTTCGCGAGAAGATCACCAATGCTGGGATCAGGAAGGCCTACTTCGTATGCCATATCAAGATGTGCCCTTCCAAGTTAGGCGAGCCGGTAACCCGCAGAAGGGTGTACATGTTGTTTTTGAGAAAGAACCTTAGCTGATTTGGATATATCTATATATGTATATCTATCCATTTAGCTACCTACCTACCTACCTACCTATCTATCTATCTACCTATCTATCTATCTATATATATATATCTATCTCTATCTCTATCTCTATCTCTCTCTCTATCTATCTATCTATCTATCTATTCGTTCCCACCTTTTGTAACAAATAACCTTTTAAAGCTGCCATCTAAGGGATGTGGCCAAGAACAACATCAAGAACGATGACCATTTCCAGCGAGAAGCAGATCAGTCTGTTGAAAGCATGCACCATGAGCAGCCCTTGAACACCAGTGTGTTTGCAACTTAGGGCCCATGAGGCCAAGAAAGATCAAGAAAGGTTCCCAAAACCCACTTTCTGAGGCCTCAAATGATGTTGGGGAGAGAGACCGCCTATGTCAAGAAGGTTCTTGAAGAGATGGAGGAAAGCGTCCGCAACAAGCCAACCAAAGCGCTTGTCAATGTTCACCGGGAGTGCACAGTCTGCACCTAACAATACTTTCAACCTTTGCAACAATACTTCTGAGCTTCATCGATGATGTTTCAACCTGTTCATGGGTTCAAACCAAACCAAGGCCCAAATCTGGGAAACCGAGATGGGTGAAGAAGCACATTCTCAAGATCAAGCAGCTGAAGGTCTGCAAACGGTAGACTTTGTGCCTCTTGTTGGTGTTCAACATACTTCCCTACACCCAATGCAAGGCATAATGTCAGCCACATGTTGGTGTTTGTCTGGGGCTAGTTCTGTGTCCATGTTGTAGTTAAACTCAGAAATTGTCTTCATTGACCAGTCAACGCACCATGACCTCTTCCCAATCTGATTTCTGGCAGGTCAGCCCGCACAACTTGCAGAAAGACCCAGATGTGCGGCGGTTCTTTCACTCCCAACGAGTTCATCATGCCCCTTTGGCTTGAATTTGTTTGCCAGGAGTCCCACCTTTGGCTTGTATGTTCCCGTGCCAAGACGCATCTGAGGCGGTGGACATCCACAGGACTGCCGGCTTCAAAGGAACGCTAAACCTGAGCCAACAGGTCGATAGAATGGGCTCAAACCCAAACATGTCCCCTTGCTTGACGCCCAATGATGTCCTGTTCAACTTCGTCAAGTCGCGACCATTGACCGGCGGGGATAAATTCCTCTTACAAGCATTCCCTGGACACTCCATTGATGTGAGTTGCCTGTCCGAGAAGGATTCTAAACTGCACTTACTTAGGCCGGCCTCATATTTCAATCTTCCAAAGTATCAACTAGGGTTTGGTGAACAGTCCCAGTTATTGAGGAAATCAACGCCCTATCTGGCAATGTGCCTTGGCCAATTTATATACATGTCATAACCCACCGCCCTTGGTCCACTCTGGCTGAGTTTATCCACCTCGCTCTGCATCAGGCAATGCATTGCAAATGCGTGGCAGCAGCATTCCTGGCTGCACTGAGCTGTGGGGATATCGAATCGTTCTGCCAGGCGTTTCAGGCAAAGCTAGACTTGCATGAAGATGCTCAGGGCTAATCTGCTAAGACAGATTGCATATAGAGGTTGAGTTGCCACGCGCGGCAAAATCATATCAGCCTAGTGCAGTGGTGTTTTTAGATGACCTTGTCAAAGCAACTTAGTCAGTTCAAGGGAAACTTCTGGCTGTTTCTTCAAGATGGATACAGGTGGCTACAGGGCTCTCACTTGTCAAGACGACAGGATCCGGCCAACATGCAGGGGCAAATATTTATTTATCTATACATATAGTCTATTTTGTATACTCATCTATTCGTAGAGATATCCCATGTTGCATTACTTTAATTAGATATTCCCCAAGTATAACACACTCAATTTAGACTTTGGCAACATGTTGCAACCTTTGGCAACTTGTTCATACTTAGACTTGTTCAAAGCAGCTTCCCAACATGAAGCGGTTTGATGCACCGGGAGAGTCCTCGAGCTCATCGTCATCGAGCTCATCATCATCAAGCCCAGTTTGGAAGAAGCATCGAAGATCAGAGTCCTTGGGGTCAGAGTCTGGGGGTTCAGACTCTGAATCGGATGGGTCTGGCCCACTCCATGTGAAGGGAAGAAGCGAGCTCCTTTTGACACATCTTTCTATGTTTCCAGGTGAGGAGGCCCAATGTGAGTCCATGGCCGCCCAGAATGGGAAATCCAAAGAACGGATCAGAAAAGTTCTGAACAATGGACTATGCAAATGCAAAAGGTCATGCTACAAGTCGGTGACCTTGTCCATGGTACTCAAAGTTTGCTTGACTTTTTGGGGGCTGACAAAAGCAGCCCAAGACACAGTGTTATGGGGGATACAAAACATGGAAAAGAATCCTACAGAGAATGAAGTTGAAGATAGTTCATACAGTTCTTCGTCGTCTGACTGTGATTCCGACTCGGAAGATGAGCTGCGAACGAAACCTGTGCACTGCTGGTTTATTCAAGGTGGGGTGTTGGGTGAAATACCTTGTAATGATACAGTTCCAGGTCAAACAAGTAGACAAGTTCTGATGACAGTTATATGTCCTCTGGCATTTTTTGAACAATTCCCAAATATAAAGATCTCACCATCTCTTCCCTGAACCAGGCATCCAAATCTGCCGCGAAGCTTTTTGCAAACTCCTTGGGGTGGGCACATGGCGGCTAGTGAGGACGCGTAGAAATTTCCAAGGGGAAGACCGGAGGAAGTATGGTGACCAGGTTGCACTTGGTTGTTTAAAAGCCAAAAGTCGAAAGTCTATTATGCAGTCTGCCTACCACTTGAGGTAATCTGAAATCTCGCACATCATACGCTGCTTCATCCGTGGAATCTTTCCTTGAACGAACCTACTGGAGCTTGGCTGAGACGCTCCCCCACGAGTTGCTTGGACCAATGGATAATTCCAAGGAAACAATTTATGCTAAAGCCCCCTTTGTCCCAACCAAGGCTTAAGGTTCATGAGCTTGGACAAGTTGTGGCAACAGAACCTGGGCGGCAGAAATTGCTGGATCTTTTGGTGAACTCTTCATTGGAAGCTGACATGACAAAAGCTGTGCTTCCACTGGGGCCGAAGGATCTGATTAGGCGCTACCTTCCGCCTGGGAACTGGTCTGATATCTACCATTTGTACATCAGTTTCCAGAATGCTCAAAGTCTTCAATGTGCGTCGCCCACCACGTTCTTCAGAGTTGTGAGGAAGAGTGGCTGGAATAAGGTGCTCAGGTTTCGGAACGTGTCAACGCACACTGCTTGTCCCACTTGCCAGCGCCTGAAATCTCAACTTCGGCATTCAAAGGATGTTGCGAGTCATGCCCGTGCTGCTGACAGGCTCATGAGACATTTGCAAGGCCAGTTCATGGACCGACAGATTTATTGGGGGCTGAGGGCCCGCGCCAAAAGGGATCAAAATATTATTGTTTGTATCCAAGATAGTATGGATAAGGGAAAGTTTGCCCTCCCAAAGTTCATCGACGGCCGAGTTCCCAAACACCTCGCGACTTTGAACCGCCCGGTTTTGGAAGTTACTGCTAATATCATTCATGGCCGTCTCATCTACGTGGCTGTTGCCGATGAGGGGGAAAACAGTGGATCGTCTTGGAGTTTGGAAGTGTTGAGCAGGGCATTGGACAAAGCCTACCTCCAAGCTCAGAAGCGTGGCCTTTGTTGGCCTTCCCACCTCAAAATTTGGAGCGATAATACTCCAAAGGATTCTCGACTGGTTTATGATGTTTATGTTAATGTTTTTGGCTAATGCTCTATTCGTTGTCTTTCATTCTTGAACCTGTTGCACTTGCCAACACCTAGAAGCAAAGGAGATCAAAAATGGAGTATTTGGCACCTGGTGCACCGCAGCAACAGCACTGAACCTCTTCGATTTGATATCGACAGAACAATTGGTAGTTGGCCACACACATGAGGATATTGGTAGCTTTCCTGCGTTTTGAAATTGATCGTTGAGTGATGTGAAGTACTTCTAGATTGTAAGTTTCCCCCTTTCACTGCCTGAACATCCTTGCGATGTGCTGAGATGCCTTTTTTGGATTGCTATGCAAATTTATCCGATGCGGTGACGATAGCGTGCATCTTGTCAGCGCACTGCAATGGTTTCATATCAACATGACATACTTCCAAGATAGTTTTGAATATGACACTCTGCAGGCAAACGCCAACGGATGTGGTAAGGCCACAAGCTTAGTTGGGTTTGTAGCTAACTGTAAGCCTACCTACATGTTCTTCTTTCTGAACACCAGTGGCAGTGGCTCAGGCTTTTGGAAGACAAGGTTGCTCCCATTTTCCGGGCGAAACAATATGAGTTTCATGTCGAGTACATCAGAGCGGTCCGAAACTGGAAGGACCATCTTCCAACTGTGTCTGCACTTTCTGGGTGTTACCGAAAGAGAAACAAACGCGATGAGAGCATTGTTCCCCACAGCTTCACCTTTGTTCAGCGACGTCGTAGCTTGGCCACTGTTTTGACACCAGTTAGTAGTCAGTCTACATTTGGGCACCTGTTTTTACAAGGTATGCCTTCTCTAACCCTTGCATTTATTAATTAAGGTATGCCTTCGAATCTTCTTGAGCAAGCAGAGCAACGTCTGCCCCGGAGGTTTGGTCCACACGGTTCTGATGTGTTTGCATTGGTCAAAGCCTTTGCCAGTGACACTCATTTGAGTCAACCTGCACTACTTATTATGCCTGGTGATTCCATTTATGAACATGTGGAACCTGCAATGTCAAAGCTTGCAGTTGGTGATGTAGCCCGAACCTTGTAGTCCTGCTTTAAAAATCATTTTCTGTTTTGGTTCATCACCTTTATTTCCTGTCCCAAGTCCCATGTACCCTTGATCACTTCCCAGCTCTTGTGCCAAGGATCCGCTCACTACTTGGAGGAAGCTCGCCAAGAGGACCTCATTGGCCTGGCCGAAACTTTGGCATCTGAGTACCCTCAATACGGGAGAGCTTGCAGGTACCTTCAAACTTTGGGGGGTCAAGTGGCCAGGGTAGTGGAGCCATTACCGGAGATCCAATTCATTTTGGCAGGGGGAACGCCTCCTGTGCAGAGAGGCTCGCCTATTTTGGAGCACCCAGAGCCATATGCGGTGCACCGGATGAATGTTACGTTTCACAGGTACAACTAAACCGGCATGCCTTGGGGTTGTGGCAGGAAAGATTTCGAGCTGCTTCTAATGTGAGAATTAGCTTTTGCAGTGAACTCAACCTGTCAGTGCAACTCTAACCTGACTGTCAGGGTTGGATCTAGCCTTTTGATCCAAACTTCGGTCTAGGGTCGCCCCTCGACCTGCAATGGCGACCGAAATGGCACAACCTGTTGGCTTCACTGATGTGAAGGCCAGGTAAGGTAGTTTGGTTTGTGGGACTTGGAAACAATGAATTCCTGTAAGATATTGTTCCAAAACCACCCCCAAGATCACTGGTGGCTCTGTCAGGCAGAAGCTGGTGATCACGCGTCTCCAAACTCTGCAGAGTCCAAAGGTGAAACCTTGAAGCACAGGGTTCTCGCTGCTTTTGATGAGGCCAGGTTTGTAGCAATGGGAGCTAAGTCCAATGGCCACTATGATTCAACATCAAACACTTTCTATTTGTCTATTTTTGGGGATTTGGAGGTCACAAACCAGCAGAACTTGGGGAAGTTCCTCTGGGAGACCCATGGCTGCGATGAGGGCAAGCAGCTTCAATTTGCAAAGGTTTCTTGGCATCCCGTGGTCATGAGGCATAGAAACTTAGAAACTAAAGTAACAATTTTCCACATTCCAAAGATGTCAACATCTGCCTCTTCGTTTGAGGCTATGGCGGACATCTTTGCAATCCCTGAGGTAGCTGCTAAGTTGCCCCAGAGTTGTGGGCCAGTCCTCAAAACCGTGCCTGCGTCGGCAAGGTCGAATGCATACTTGCATCCTTGGCACCTGAGTCTTTGTGAGAATGCCAAAGCTGGCAGGTTTCCTACAATGCACCAGACCCGACTCCACATGCCCAGCATTGTGTGGAAACACTACCAGGCACATCGTGAGGCCTTGGAGATCAAATGTGATGCCCCGGCAGGTGACCAAATAGGTCATTTCACAGTGCGCTACATCGATGGCCACAACAAGGGGATGATGGTTCAAGGGCTGTTGGCCATGGTGATCCATACTGCTACTCAGCAGATCTGGGTGTTTTGTGGAGGAATTCTGTTGGATAAATTGCTACTGGGACTACTTGACAACAACTTCAGGGAGTGGAAGGTTGCCAAACTCAGCTCTAAAAGATATTGAAACCCTAAAAGTGAAACCTTGGGTTCACCTGAGGGCATGCGCCATGATGAAATTGCTGCTGATGATGATTTCTGCCAACTTCTAACATCGCTGAAATATCTCCGGGTGAACTACCAGCCATTGTCTGCCCAAGCTGCACTCTATGAGACATTGTGCCAACTTCTCAGTTTTGTGGATTTGGTTTTGCCCATCCCGCCCTCATCCAGATTCCAAACCTCTTCGGCGAGGTCTGGCCCACAGCACCAGTGAGAAGCAGAAGCCGGGTCCTCTTGACTTAGCGTTGCTTTTCCGGGAAGTGTTGGAAGTGAAGAAACACAGTGGAACCGGATCGAGTACTAGGGAGGTCCTTTTCGCCTCTATCGCTGAATACAACAAGTGCTGCACTTCCAAGGTGGGGTGTTGAGAAGAACCTGTATTCCACAACATCGTGCGCAGGAACATTGTAACAATGGTAACGCTAGAGAACAATGATTTCTATATATTGTTTTTGTGGGACATATTGGAACCAGAGTCAGGCATGGAGGATCAATGAAGCCACTCGGCGCTTGCTGTATGGTGTATTGCGCTGCCCAGCTTCTTTCCTGGAAGTTCTGAAGCGGGCCACAGAGTACTGTGCCTGGAAGGATTCAGGCCAGGTGTTTCACATCCTAAAAGTGAGTTCAAAGTGAACCCTATGGCGCCCTTTGTGGCCAAGGTATGGTTCGTACAGGTTAGCTGTTAGCCCCCCTCGGCGCATCAAATTTGAAATATAGGAATTCGGTCGCTGACCCTGCAGCCTTCACCCTCGAGAATCTAGATGGAGATTGGTTTGTGCCTGGCAACTTGCTTGGGGGCTCTGCAGTTACAGACCAGTTCTGGAAACAAGTCAAGGCTCGGCTTCAAGTCTTGTCAGCATTGAAGCACTAAGACCCAAAGATTCTAAGATAGGATGTTCTTCATTGTTCTTCAACTCAGGCTAAATCATTTGTTGAATTGAGAGGAATCTAAGATAAGATGTCCACATGGTTTTTGTCAAAAAAATGGCAAGATTTGACAACCTGTTGTAAACTTCACCGGGTGCCCACTGCCCTCACACCCTGTCCTCTCAGACCGTCACTGCCGAAAAAGTGCACCTGTGGGCAGAGCGCGCATGGAAGGATCACATTCGGAAGGCACCCCGGGATTCAGCGGTGAAGCAGAAGGCAAGGAAGTTTCAAGCAGCGTGAAACAGTTTCAACATGTTTAAACAAAACAAACATGTTCCAATGTTCCTGCCACATGTAAGGGCGTAGGTCTTTGGGTGTGGGAATAGAACCCTGCCAGAAAGCTGCTCAACGCAGCCTTACCGAGATGCAGGATTTGCTTGAAACCTGCTGCCTGTGGACCCACATTGAGGGCGACCTGATCAGCTACATTGGCAAAGGCTCAGAGTATGACAGAGTCGCTGGCATGTGGGAACAGGGGCGCCTAAGCTGACAGATTCCAATAGGTTCTGCAATCGTTCATGTTCAATGAAATATTGAAAAACTAACCTGGGTTGGCCGAAGGGAACCGCGCGATCCTGGGTTGGCCGAAGGGAACCGCGGGAACTTGGGTTGGCCAAGTACAACCCACCAAAAACCACAGGATTTTCTGGAGCCCACACTGATCACCATAAAATCCTGTGGTTTTTTAAAACCGCAGGATTTTCCAATGGTGTTGGAGGAAGGGCAGGATTTTTACCTCTTATGGAATTGAACCTGAAAATCCTGCAGTCCTTCAATCCATATATAATTGTACTGTGAATTTTAAATTCCGCAGGAAAATCTAGAGGGAACTCAAGCTGGTGGATTTTCCTTCATTTCATAGTGTGTTACCGGCAATTGGCAACCTCAGAGTACTGTGGTTTTTAAAAACCGCGTGATCGGGGAAGTGCCGAAGCAAACCGCGTGATTGGGGAAGTGCCGAAGCAAACCGCGTGATTGGGGAAGTGCCGAAGCAAACCGCAGGATCCGTGATGTGCCGAAGCAAACCGCGGGACACTGCCAAACCAAACTGCAGGATTTGGCAGAAACTTACTGTAACACTAATCCAAGATTTTCCAACAACTCAATGTCCAAATTTACCCAGGACTTTGGACGCAGAGCTGAAATCACATTGCCGGGGTATGGCTCCTGACTTCGACTTCCGGAAGATGTCCTTTGTAGTTGAAGCCTCCGGTTCCTTGCACAATGAGCAGCTGGAACAAGCCCAGTCCAGGACTGCCAATGCTTTGAAGAAGTCCCTTGGGGCTGCGTGGGAGCTCTTCCAAACAAATTTGCAGTCAGACCAAGTCATGCGGGACAAGTTTTTGAACTCATGCTCTGGTGATGAGTCCCGCCAGCGTGCTGCCATCATCGACAGCCTCGAGGTCACTGGGTTCCAAGTTATGGAAATTGAATGGTTTAAATAGAAACACTGCTCTGGAAGTTGATTAGTTTAGATAAATTAGCAACACTGTTGTTGCTATTCTTTTGTTGCAGTTACTGGGTGATCCGACCCTGTCAGAAAATGCATGCCATAGCTTGGAAGCAAGTCAATGCCTTCATCATGGACACGGTCCCGACATGGTGCAACAGTGCCACTGCGAAGCAAAAGGAACACGCAAGCGCCAGCGCCACGGCTGCCACTTCAAGAAACATTTTGTAACACTCTCACCTGGAAGTCTCACCTGGAACTTCAAAAAATCGATGGTGTGAAGGTGAAGGTTTGGGGTTTGGAACCTTCTGTTGAGGTCCAGAGCAGGAGACCGACACCAGTGCTGTTCTCACTGCCAACCTGATGCCGTGGTTGGAAAACAGCCTTGCCAGCATGTCTGGTGGCATCAGGCGGCTCGACCAAGAACTCGTGGTGGTCTTTGTCAACTTCCAAGCGGCAGGAGTGGTGTCTGCCAACAGGCAGCACTTCGTTCTGACGCAAGTCACTGCCCTTTGCAACAGTTTCCCTCGAAGTTGTGTGGCAGTTCTGGTGATGCCAAACCGTGCTGCTGACCTGCGTAATGCTAAGCCGCTAGGCTTGTGATTCCTACACGTTTCCTGTTTCATTTCAAGCTCGCCCCAAGTCTGAAGGTATGGATAGGGCATGATAGGGCGCCCCACCAGTTCCCTCCCCATTGCGCCTCAGGGCTGAAGTCAAGGATGAGGCGGAGGCCAAAGCTGAACAAGAAGATGGAGACGAAGCAGGCCTCAGCGACAAGCGAAGTAAAAACAAAGTTCAAAACTGCCCCTGTGTAACTTTTTCTGGTTGTCGTTCTTCAATCTTTTGGTCACTGTGATGCCCAGAAGGCATTCAGTTCATGCATTTCCTCAAGCTTTGCCTGAGATAGACGGCTCACCCAGAATGGGAGAGAGCCCTGAGGTTTGCCCAAGCAAGTGGCGCACAAACAAACCACTGACACTTGCCCAATCCAGAGACAAAGCAACGCAGAAACTTGTCCAAGCGCCACAGAAACTTGTCCAAGCAAGACGCAACAACACACAGAACAAACAAGCACACAATAGAAAACCATTGAGACTTGTCCAAGCAAGGGACACAAGCACACAGAACAAAGAAGCGCACAATAGATACCCACAGTGCCATGACACAACAGCAACAAACAGTGTACAGAGCAAGGAAGCACACAATGGAAGCCATGGAGCCTTGTGCAAGCAAGACAACAAAAATACACAACCACATACAGAACAAAGAAACACACAATAGAAAGCTGTGGAGACTTGCCAAAGCAACGCACAAAAGTCGCAAAAGCAAACCACTGAGACTTGCCCAAGGGAGAAACAAATCACACAAAAGAAAAAACAAACCACTGAGACTTGCACAAGCAAGAGACACAAGCGAGACTTGTCCAAACCAAAGAACACAACAAAACGGTGCACAAACAAACCATGGAAGACCTGTCCAAACAAAACACACAGAACAAAACGGTGCACAAACACACCACTGAGACTTGTCCAAGCAAGAGACAAAAACCTACAAACCCAGCGGCGTACAAAAACCACTGAGACTTGCCCAAGCAAGAGACAAACACATACAGAACAAAACGGCACAGAAAAACCACATAAACTTGTCCAAGGAAGACACAACAACATGGATACAGAACAAAGAAACACACAATAGAAAGCCATGGAGACTTGTCCAAGCATGAGACAAGAACACAATAGAATGCGACTGAGAATAGTCCAAGCAACGGAAGCGCGTACAAAAATCATCCAAAACAAAACGGTGCAAAAGCAAACCAATGATTGTTGCCTTTAAAAGCATACAGAACAAAGCGCTGCGCAAACAAACCACTGAGACTTCTCCAAGCAAGGGACAAAACGTACAGAACAAAGCGGTTTGCAAACAAACCACTGAGACTTCAGGTTGGGAAAGTGTTCCTTACTGACCGGGAAGTTTATGTTCACAAGGTAAGCGTTGGGTTAGCAAAAGCATCTTGTTGCTGCAGCTCTCGCCCTTTTTTCTTTTCCAGTGGGAAATGTCTCTCGCCTTTTCACTTTGAGATTGAAGGCTTGAGCCAAAATGGTATGGCATTTTGGCTAGTGAAATGTATTCCAGAAACATAACCTGCTTTCCACAGGTTCCAAGCACGTTCTAATTCTCGCCTTACATGGATGGACTTGTGTCTCTCGGGTGAGCAAAGGATAGTCACAAGTGTTCCCTGGTGTTTGTTGGTCTTTGAATGCCAGGATTGCGCTCTGACACTTGAGCGCAAAATGGCAGGTCCACGCAACCCCTTCTGAGAACATCCACTATAGTATACTTGCACTCATCCAACTTGGGTTAGTGCGATTGTGCTCTATCATGGGCTTGCGCCGTAAGAGCCTTTCGTAGTAATCAGCGCGACCTTGCTCCGATGGGCCCTGGCCCTTTCGCTGAGCGCTCAGTCAACAGCTGGCCCGCTTGGCCGCCGCTCCACTCGCGTAAGCCGATGCGCCATTCCTGACCAGATCTGCCCATTCGTCAAAGCGGGTCTCCACATTTTGCAGCGGCTGTTTCTGTACCCTCCCAAGCTGGGCTGGTTGATATTGGCCCTGAGTCCAGACCATTGTGTAGCACATAGATTTGCGACCCGGTCGCTCAAGCGAGTGCCCAACCACTGCATGCGTTCTGGTCGATATGTGTTCTGGTCGACGCCTTCCTTGTCAAGATCAGTGAGGATACACTCACTCACAAGAAGCGCGTTCCTGACTTGGTGTGCTTCTCCTGCTTCTCCTTCTTCTTCTTCTTCTTCTTCTTCTTTTTTTGTGTTTTTTCTTCTTCTCCTCCTCCTCCTCCTTCTTCTTCTTCTTCTTCTTTTTCTTCTTCTTCTTCTGCTCCAAGCTGGCCCGCCAAAAAGGTTACGGTTAGAGCTTTTGGTGTTAGGTTTCAATGGGATGATGGGTCAAGAGGATAAAAGTGGACCTGGACCTATAGACGTAAGCTTGACACCAATTCTGGGGAGTACAATCTATCAACAAACAAACTATCAACAACCATGGCCTATCTACAGGCCAAGATGATGGGAACGACGACGATGAGGAGATCTGCGATGCAGGAAAAGATGATAGCGATGCTCTCCTGCGGGACTTCCAGTACCAAGTCAAGTGCCAATATATGGAGCGTGCCCGAAACCTTCGAGACACTGGGATCTCGTTTAACAAACATATGTGGGTTCCAGATCTAGCCAGCCCCATTAGTTTGGCAGGCATTTTGTTTTGGACTTTGTGACGCTGTGCGACACCCACCAACCCAATTCTTCACCGACGCCCAGATTCTTGAGCGACCCAAGGTGCGCAGTGCTGTTGTGAACTTCGATCCTGACACAGTTTATGGCTCACGGACTGGCTTCCAAGAGGTGCTTTTGGTCATGGCGAGGGAGAAGAACTCAGTGTCTTGGCCAGGAATTTGGCTCTGGTCTTGGTTGACATGGGGGCCCACAGAAACCCTGTCTACTACCCTCCTGTCATTCACAGATTGCTTCATCCACACTGTGACATGTTTGGGCTGGGTGCCCATCGAACCAGGTCCCTGCGAAGTCCAAGTTCGTCAAGAGCGGGTGCGTTTCTGGTGCCAAAATGTTGCCAAGGGCTGAGATGGTGAAACTTCCCCGTGATGCTTATGGAGGTGAGGCCAAGTTCACACCAGTCCAAGAGTTGAAGCAGGTGGGGGTTCAAGAGATTCCTTTGAACATATTTACTGTAAAGCATATTATGTTTTTGTAAGACACGTTTCCCAAAGAAGAGTTACAAACTCCAACTCAGATTGAATGTTTAAGTTCTTCCTTAACACTTTAGTAGGCCGACCACCTTGCCCATTCAAATATTGCTATTTCACAAAGGGTCATTCCTGATGCTACTACTCTCATTCAAACCCTGTCAGCATGCCGGCGGCGCGAGCTTTGTGGCAACCGTTATGGATGGATTGCTCCCACCGGCTTCAGCTGGAAAGGTCGCCCCGGTCATCTTGGATTTAATGGGGTACGATGCTGCAGCGGCCACCTACACTGTGAACAAAGTGGCAGCAGGACTGGGGTGGTTGTACTTCCCAAAACTATATGTTTACAGTTCTGAATAGTCAGAACCCAAGAAGGGGGGAACAAGTTTCCAAACAGCGAAGCTCAGTTTAAAACACCATGGACCATGCAGCTTCATAGCGTGGATACTGTTGCACCTGGAATGAATGACCTGCATAAAATCCCATCAACCTTCACAGGCGCCAAGATTGCCTGCGCAACTGTTGCCCATACCAAATCAGAAACGTCCTTCTGCACCGCGCTCATCGCGAACAAGGTCTTTGACCTTAGCCGTGCACAACGGTTGTCCATTCCTGGGTTCCCTGACTTCAAGAAGACCGTCCAGGAGCTAAAAACAACGGCTCAGCCACCTCATCCAGACTATTCTGTTACCATCCCAGTAGCAGATTCCCTTGTCATCAAGGAAGCCTTGATCGACCATTGGACCACCAAACCCGACTTCAAGGCTGACATTGAGAAGGCGGTCAAGGAGCACAATGCTGTCTACAACAAGCGGGGATTGAAGAGGGGCTCGGATGCTTCTGGTGGTGACCAAGCGACACGACCCACCAAGAAGCTTTGCATCGAAGCGGACCCTATCTCTGTTGATGAGTTTGAAACAAAGTATCCAGACAGGTTGGGGGCAACCAAAAAGAAAAAGGATACTCTCTTGCTGTGTAAGTTGGTTAAAATTGATCTGATGGTTGGGCTTTGCGGCGTTAACTTCCCTTCTCGCTCTGGCATTGACCTCCCTGAGGCTCGATCTGGCATCTGGCCATTGGACTTTGAGCCTGGCCGGTGGTTCGCTGTTCATCCACAGCCAGGAGGACTTCGTCTTGGACCAGTTCTTGGAGCTGTTCAGTGTTTTGGACTGCATGGTGATGGTGATGGTAATTACAATGATGGTGATTATGATGATGATGATGATGATGTTGATGACATTGTTTGCTTTTGATGACATGTTGATGAAGGAGGATTGTATAGAGATAAAATGTGATTCATAAAAGGTTGTTGTTGAAGTTGATGATGAGTGTGCCTTATGATGGGGGCAGAACGTTGCATGCAAGATCAGGGAATACCATAATAACATGTCATGTTTGGCCCAGGGAATAACATAACATGTTTGGCCCGAGGCTTTGGCAGCGGCGACTACGTTTCCAAGTCAGAAGCCACAGATGTGCTCTCTGATTTGGAAGGGCGTTGGATTCGCTATGATCTGACTGGTAGAGCTGATGAGTACCTTGAATCAAAGATTGAACGACTCTTTCTTGAAAAATCCTGAAAGATCTTGAAAGACTATGATTAGCTACCGCTCATGTTCACAACATTTATGTCATTGTTTCCTATAGGTTGCGTGGATGTTCAACAATGTCAAGCATCTATGATGCGAGGCGCCATGTGATTCTGGAAACCAACAAGAAGCTACCGGAACACCTATCCGAGTTGGACATCTTCAACAAGGTCTGCTCCCATACTGACCAGTCATCTCAACCCTATTGTCCTTTGGAATTATCCCTGGGAATTGCTCTGGGGGTTGTCCTTGCCAGGTGATCCCACTTAGCCAGCTGATGCGTTCTTTGGAGGACGCTGGGGAAGTGAACTTAAGCTTAGCTGAGCACGAGGTGCAAAAGACTGAAGCTGGGCTGGCCCTCAAAGTTCTGCACGATGTGTGCTTCGTTCTCGACCCCCAAAACGGCAAGAAGCGAAAGAAGGCTAGACACCAACTACATTGTTTTCCAACAGATGTTGAATTGAGTTCGCCAGGTATGGCATGTTCCCTTGGTGATTTGTCAGGTTTCTGCCATCACCTTTGGGCGCGATGTCAACTTCACGAAGCTTCGGGCTAGCAAGAACGTCCAGATTTTGTGGCGCTTGAGGCACCACTTCATGTTTATAGTATCAACACGTTGGGTAGAACTGAAGAGAGAACGCTTTTGCAGTGAATGCATCGTGTGTTTGGTGTTGCCTTTGTTTTTCTTGGTCACACAGGCAGTGATTTTCCAACCCACACATCTTGGCTTGCACCTCCCCATCTGGAAGTCTGCTGGCCTTGTTCAGGATCCACACGGACAAGGGGTCTGCTCGAGAGCTGGTGCCTGTGCGCCCCGTCGCTGTGCTGCCAGGATCGATCAGTTTGAAAAGCAAGCGAGCTATCCAGCTGGCTTGAGAAGAATCAGGTTGGTTTTGGGGAAAGTATCATACAGTGAAACTGTATGCACATGGTACCCACTGGGCAAAATAAACCTGACGCGGTGATTGGTCACGACTCCACCAAAGTTCCAAATCTGCCATAGATGATTGCCAATGCGCCAGGGAGCTCCTGGTGGCCAATACATTTGCGAGTGTGTGAGGAGCAAAAACCGTTTCACATTGTCAGCTGAATTGGATTTCACTGTTGAAAGTGGGTGCTTATAGTTGGAACCAGTCTTGAACTTGTTAGGGGATTTTGGCTGAAGCCATCAAGGGGTTTTGGTAGGGCAGTGCTTCTCAAATCGCTGTCCCATGGAGTATACCAAAAAGTTTACTCCTTCTGACTATACGGACCTCATCGAGAACTCGCAGACCTCCCGAGCGCCAGCCTCTACCTCATCTGGCACAGCTGCAGCCTCACAAGGACTAGGACTGGTTCAGACCTTTCTCACTTTGCAACAACCAGGGTATCGTTACTACATATTGGCATGTTTTCTGCCAGGATCTCGTTTGGCCCGGTGCGACATGACTGAGTCGAGTGACTCTCAAGAAAAGAACAAGAAGGATAGTGAGACTCAAGAGAAGAAAGGTGAGAAAACGAAGAAATCAGAGAAGAGTGAGAAAAAGAATACGGCAGAAAGTGATGATGAAGAGGACGGCAAAAAGAAAAAAAACAAAGAAGGCCAAACATGAAAGCGACAAAGAGGTTTTTGGTACTTGGGGTGATCGCCGGGATGGCGATGATGATGATGCTGATGGAAATGATGAAACAGGAAATGATGCCATGGAAGTGCGAGGATCCAAGAAGAGACCTAGTGCTGCTACCAGTTCAAAGAAAAACAAGAAACATGAGAAGGAAAAGAAATCAAAACACAAAGGTCGCAAACATGATGATGACTATAGCGCTGATGGCTTGGACTTGAAGGCACAGGTTGCACTGTCTATGATGCGCGCAGAACTTGCAGAGCAAGCAGCACATGACCCAGCAGAAATTGATTCCAGCCAGGACCGGGATTTTCTTATAAAACGCAGTTCTGACTCTGCCAGTCCTGTCATTGGTTCCTCACCAATCCTAAGGGCCTGGCCCCCACTCAACGCGTTGGCAGCTAGGAGCTCTTTGACGACAGCCTTCAACCAGACCAGTGCGTGAAAAGGCTGGTGGATGACTTTGAGGACTGCATTGTTTTAGATAGCACCCTTGTTGTACACTGCATTGTTCACTTCAATGGGGTTCCTAGGGGGCAACTGCCCTTGGCAGGAATGCTTCATCGACCCCACTGAGAGCCAAACCAAGGACCAAACTTAAAGCTTGTTTGTCACTTGTTGAGGCTTTCATTGCCAAACCGTCCACTGCCATCTCCAAGGGTGAGAGGGAAAACAACATCAAGCTAACAAAGTTATATATATATAATATACTTGTATATACACAGGTACACAGCTTTGCCAGGGTTGCCAAGAGCTGCGCCAGGCTTTGTTCAAAACTCCTAGATGTGAAGAGACTGTGACATTGAGAAACTATGATTTTGGCAGGAATCGATGCTGCACGATCGCTGGGGCAGACCCTTCATCCCCTTCCCTGATCTGAGCCTTCACGACATCTACGCGGACCATGGCAATGCTGCTGCTGAGGTGAAGGGTTTAACATTGTCTAGAGTTGAGCACTGTTTCAACCTCTTGACAGGAACCTCCTGAGGAAACTACTGGCTTAGAGAGTGCGGCCCAACAGGAGGCTTAGAGAGTGCGGTCGATCAATCTGTTTGTTGACTATATGCATTCCTTTGCAGGTGGCTGACAGTGCACTCCCTGCACTGGTCGACCTCGAGGTCCTAGTCTTGGTTTGAATTGATACCCAACGTTGGGTATAAACTCTAAGTCTAGAAACTTGAGGCTGGGAAGCCTGACCTGAAGTGCTTCATGGAATCTGAAAACAGCCCTGTGGTTTCCGTGGAGGCTGGGTTTCTACTTTTGGATTCATTATTCACAGACTATTCACATACCTATGTTCTCTTGAGGAATCTGAAGTGCCTCATGATGATGAACGCCCACCGTCCATCTTCCAGGCTTGGGTTGTAAAGGGGTATCGTATGCTTTATGAAAAGGGTGGGGAATGGTTACGAGCCCAAGTATTGCGCGAGGAGGCGCACGAGGAGGCGGCTGAGGAGTTTGGCCAGCTGCAGCCACAGCCCCAAACTCAGAAACCCAGATTAGAAGAGCCCCCAAACAACCATTGAAGGTTTCATTGGGCCATTGAAGAATATCCCACTAACCTCTTCTTCTCAGGCCTGTGGTTCTGCTACCAGCCAAACCAAAGGCCAAAAGTGTTCCCAAGAAACGTGGGAGGCCTACGGCGAAGGCTGCACCAAAACCAAAGCCTAAACCCAAGGCTACACCCAAAGCAAAGAGCAGCGCAAAAGCGAAGTCCAAAACCAGGACAAGCCAACCAAAGAGCTCTGCTCAGAAACCGTTGAAGATGGATTGGAACAACATTTACAGCAGATGTTACCATGCCAAGAGAAGAGCAGGTCTTCCAAAGGAGGAGGCAGGGACCAAAACCCACAGTAAATGCATAGTTCAATGATTTCCCAATTTCAAGATGTGAGTTTTGAGAAGCTCTCTTCAGGCAGCAAAAGCGGCCAGGAAGATCGCGACCGAGACTGCGATTTCGAATGAGACTCCAGATTCATCGTAGATCCAAGAACCATAAACGCAAGAGCGCAAATTGGGGGAAAAACATTGTGCATCTCTTGCTGCTCTTGAGGGATTGAAGGAAGGGAGAAGGAAGGGATGGGATTTGAAGTGTTAGTTACTATTGGTTCAAGTGTCAGTTGACAGGGTTCACTCTTTTAAGCTGCTCGATGATTGCATTTGTGCGTGCTACTGACTATGTTGCCAAGTATATAGTCATGCTTTGAGCGCCATTATTTGTAAACGTGCAACTTTGTTCTTTGGTGGAGTGAACAGGGGTTTAAACATGTTTAAACTCAGAGGCAAGCGGAAGGGTAGTGCACAGAAAGAGTTTTGCAAAACACTGTTCTACTAACATCGTGGAAGGTCCAGGACATTCGTGGAACCCAGGGCTATTCGTGGACGAATCTCCAGCTCGAATACTGTCGCACTGATGGTTTCTCGGGAATTTGCAGAACCAATGCAGGCAACATCAGGGTAACCTCAGTTAGCTACCCCTCTCAACTGGCCCAACCAATTCTGGGTCCAACCCCCCCGTCGCGATCGGCCAGCGACATGGTTTCTAGGCCCAAGTCTCGGTCTTCGTCTCTCGAGCCGCGAGGCTCGTTGGTTCTCGCGGTGCCTTTCTTTCTCGGACCCGTTTGGATGAGCATCGGTGTTTGGATCAGTCCGAGAGTGCCTGAACTCCTTTGTTCCAATCATCAAACTTGCAATGATTGGTCAATCCTTTCAAGCGAAACTATGCAAGGGCCTGGCATTGTTTCCAATGCTGTGTTGAGCAGTCCTGGAACTGGCATCAACTCCAATTCAAGCAAGGAGTCGCTGGCGCCAGGATCACAAGCTCAGCCTTCATCAAGAAGCCGACCACATGCTTCACAAAAAGATCCGCTGAAGATCCTGCCACTATTTTAATGCCAGAAAGCCACCAGACCTGCTAACCGAACCTGCAAAACTTGGACTCCAAGTTCAAAGGGCTCAGAGGAGGGTTGTAAGGACATGTAAGGACTCCAAGTTGAAAGGGTTGATTTGTGTTCCGGTGATGGAAGTGGCTCTTTCTCATCGAAAACGGCTCTTTCAGTCGCTTCATGAGGTAGGTTTGACACGGGAAGTCATGGAAGGTGTTTTCAGTCCCATGGCGGCTCTACAACCGCTTCGGCAGCTGGCATGGATGATTTAGGACACGCAAAAGGGATCAAAAGGGCATGAAATCTCCTGACTCAGGGCAGAGAAACGAGCGCAATGATTTGTGCCACATGAAGTGTTGAAAGCGCCATCCTGTCCATTGCCTATACAGTGTGGATGTCGACAAAAAGCAGAAAGAAAACATGTTCCACGGTGCAAACGCACCCATCGTACTCACTGGGCACTAGAGAAGCCGGCTTTAATCCAAGACTGAATTTGCCGAGAGTTTCTGCAAAGCACCAACCCATGAAACAGAATCGACGGAGAAGAACCGAGTAAAGAACTGTATTAAAATCTCAACCCGTTTCTTGGCACTAAAGCGATTAAGAACCAATCCCTACGGATCTATATGTCAACATAGATCGCAAGTTTGTCAAGGATTGATTGATCCCTATAAATGATCAACGAGTTCTAATTGCATTTTTTTTCATTCATGAGAGATTTGCAATGTCTTGGTTTCGTCTTGGGTATGCGGGGTATCTGCTTGGACCAAG